ACACATGTGGAACGGAGCTTTGGGCCAAGAGCCAACTTTTCGTCCATCCTTTGAAGACGTTTTCGAGAGGTCTGCCAACGCTATATGTTAGCATTGGCTAATTCTTCTTCTGGGTCCACCCCCATCGGCCCGGGGTGGTATTGCAGCATGTCAGCGCACGTCATTTTGGCCACTTTTGAGCTGGGACCCTCCCCCACTGATCATAGACTGTAAGTGCACATGGATCCAAAAGCTAAAACGAGAAAGAGTCGATAATAAGACTGGACTAAGAATGAGAATGAACATTTTCTTTCAGTCAATTAGGAAGGACTGCTTCATGTTTGTAATGAGAAGTTTTGTTGCAACACGAGGAACAATGACGCGCAAAACACCGTACACGGTGATTACGTGAAGGATTCATTCATCAAAAATTCAGAGCACCTATTTTCAGACTTCAAAACCTTCGCAAAGACGGTGAAAGAAAAGGCCATTAAGGATATTAATTCAGCTCCAGCAGACTTCAGCCTGTGACGTGATGGATATGAGCAGACAGTGATGCAGGTATGTGACCTCTGAGCCCAAAGCAGATTTATTTACTGTATTTCTACAATTGCATGAAGGCAAAAAAGTGGAAGTTAAACTAAAGCAGAGTCGTCACGTGTTGCGTCATTCACGACACGCGTGGTGCGACACGCTGCAGTGAAAATACACATTTGATAATCATGTGATTAATATGTATTTGTAGCCTTTACTTTGTCATTTAGATATTAGGCTAATGCAGCTAATACATCTTGCAGCCTGTGTTACCTTCATAAAAGCCTTATACAAGGCTCCAGACAGATGTTGTTTTTAGTTTTTTTGTCAAATATGGCTCTTTGAACCTTTTGGGTTCCCGACCCCTGGTTTAGTTCATACAAGAACTGATGATATTATGTGTTGAGCCCTGTTTCCACCAGCTCGGCCTGGATAGAACCAAATATTAACGGATGTAGTGACGCCTACCTCCGACGTTAAAACTAATGAGTCATCACTTTACCCATCTGCGGTCCTTTTTTAAAATGGCAGCGAGTAGCCCCAAGATGCATTGCACATTCGTTAGCTGCACGGGGCACATTCATTTAATGAGTGCCTTTAAAAGTCCACAGCGGCTAAACTAGACTGGTCCGAAAAATATACACCCCTCAACTCCGACAGCATCTGGAACCAAGAGCCACTTTTGGATCAAGAACCACTTTTGGACCAAGAGCCACTTTTGGATCAAGAGCCACTTTTGGATCAAAAGCCACTTTTGGATCAAGAGCCACTTTTGGACCACGAGCCACTTTTGGACCAAGAGCGAGTTTTGGACCATCCCTTAAAGATGTTTTCCAGAGGAAACAATTGATCGTAATAATGCACTGGATAATAACTTTTCCGGGTACAACATCACCGGCCCGGAGTCATATTGCAGGCATTTCAGAGCACGCACTCAAGAACCTTTTTGAGCCAGGACCCGCCCAGACTGGATAAAACCCGGGCCAAGCATGTACCAAAAATGTACCTGGTACCAGTAAAGTAGAGCCGGGGAAGCGCTCTTAATCAGGCGACAGTAGAGCTGAGGAAAGTAGAGTAAAGTAGAGTAAAGTAGGGTTGGTGGAAAAACATGACCATGAGAATCCTCACCTCCAGTTTGACACTTTCCTTTTTGGTTGGTTGAATCTACGTTGGTTGAATCTACGTTGGTTGAATCTACGTTGGTTGAATCTACGTTGGTTGAATCTGCGTTGGTTGAATCTGCGTTGGTTGATGAAGGTCAAGTACACTTTAGTATTTTGATTTATTTCAATTAAAAAAGTTTGTGATCCAACTTTTAACACATAGGAACAATGGCTCCATGTGTTTCTTATTATTGCGTTACTTACTGATAACATTTAGCCATATCATCTCTTCATGGGTTATGCTTAGACTCCTGGACTTATAGAATCTACAGATGTACTGACCGGAGTCAGAGAGCTTTACTTCTTGGATTCTCAAAAACACATCAGTTTTATTGGAGCTCATGTGAAATCTCTCGTCTTTAAGTCTATCACAAACTGAAGGTTCACCGTCAGATCCAAAAACTGATGCAATGCAGCGAGATTTATATCCAATCCCCAGATGAATCCAATCCACTTGAGATGCATCTTTAGAGTAGTTTGAACATGACAAAGTAACAGTCTCTCCTTGATGAACCCCCAATAGATTTTTCTGCAAAGTGTATTGAGCACTGACATCTGTAAATGAAAAAGACGTCACTAAAAGCAGTGAAGAGTTGGAGATAAAAGTTAAAGTGTATGTTACTCACAGAGAACAGAGAGCAGAAGGAGCCTGAAGGTCTTCATAGTGATGACTCTGGTCTGAGCCTCTAATACTCTGCTTTGGCTTTTTATCTCTAAGACAATGGGAGGAGCATCAGTCTGTCTTTCATGCCATCCCCTAATGCTACTGGCCTCACATTTAAAAAAAGAAGAAGAATATTTACTTTTTTGATCCCACAATGGTAAAATTCATTTAGATAAATATTCATATACACATATCACATCAAGGAAAAGGGGCTTTTAACTTTGTTCTTTAGAGAAACTCCTGAATCATGAAGGACTTTCCTTTAAACAATACAGATAATCCAGAACCCAAAAAGTTAAAGCTTTATCCATGAAAACATCTGTCACAAACACGTCCCCCCATCCCTTCTGTTCAAATGCTCCGTTTTCAAACCCGCTAAGACGAGTTCTTGACTATGACCTGGAACATGTTCAACAGAAGAATGATGAGGTTTTTACAAAGATACAGAACAACATGAAGAGGATTGTCTGTATCATGCCTCCAACCTCCTTTATGGTCCTTAAGTTGTTGGCGTCACCTTCAAAACAAACATATTGATTCTAAATTACTTTTGGGAATCGGTCAAATCTCTTTGACCGATTCATGTGATTAATATGTATTTGTAGCCTTTACTTTGTCATTTAGATATTAGGCTAATGCAGCTAATACATCTTGCAGCCTGTGTTACCTTCATAAAAGCCTTATACAAGGCTCCAGACAGATGTTGTTTTTAGTTTTTTTGTCAAATATGGCTCTTTGAACCTTTTGGGTTCCCGACCCCTGGTTTAGTTCATACAAGAACTGATGATATTATGTGTTGAGCCCTGTTTCCACCAGCTCGGCCTGGATAGAACCAAATATTAACGGATGTAGTGACGCCTACCTCCGACGTTAAAACTAAGAGCCACTTTTGGACCAAGAGCGAGTTTTGGACCATCCCTTAAAGATGTTTTCCAGAGGAAACAATTGATCGTAATAATGCACTGGATAATTACTTTTCCGGGTACAACATCACCGGCCCGGAGTCATATTGCAGGCATTTCAGAGCACGCACTCAAGAACCTTTTTGAGCCAGGGCCCGCCCAGACTGGATAAAACCCAGGCCAAGCATGTACCAAAAATGTACCTGGTACCAGTAAAGTAGAGCCGGGGAAGCGCTCTTAATCAGGCGACAGTAGAGCTGAGTAAAGTAGAGTAAAGTAGAGTAAAGTAGAGTAAAGAAGATTAAAGAAGAGTAAAGTAGAGTAAAGTAGAGTAAAGTAGGGTTGGTGGAAAAACATGACCATGAGAATCCTCACCTCCAGTTTGACACTTTCCTTTTTGGTTGGTTGAATCTACGTTGGTTGAATCTACGTTGGTTGAATCTGCGTTGGTTGAATCTGCGTTGGTTGATGAAGGTCAAGTACACTTTAGTATTTTGATTTATTTCAATTAAAAAAGTTTGTGATCCAACTTTGACGAGTTCTTGACTATGACCTGGAACATGTTCAACAGAAGAATGATGAGGTTTTTACAAAGATACAGAACAACATGAAGAGGATTGTCTGTATCATGCCTCCAACCTCCTTTATGGTCCTTAAGTTGTTGGCGTCACCTTCAAAACAAACATATTGATTCTAAATTACTTTTGGGAATCGGTCAAATCTCTTTGTTTAGAACTAAATGTTTTGAATAACATGGTTGGATATTAGAATATTCCAACAACATGTAGTTTCCCACTTCTACCACTGGATGGGAGTGTTCTGCTCATTCTGATCATGTCTCTTCCATTCTACAAGTAAATCCTTATATTTATTATCACAGAAATATGAAATACCGAAGAAAGTTTAAAGCCAAAATGAACAAAAAACATCTGTGTCATTGTTTAACCTTGTAACGATTGGTCTAGTCTTTTAAATCTATGTTTAATGATGTTTTATGACTTATATTAATGCCATGGACAAAATCCAATCACAAAATAGTTTGAAATGGGCAAGTTACTTTATCACTTTATTACTTTGTTCCACTCTGTCAGCGTCTACTTTCTATTCTCTCAGAGACGGATAAATGTGGTTAAACAGGAAGTCCAATGTGGTCTCAGCAACATGGCACAGACCTGACAACAGTTGTGTATCGAGATATAGTTCCATGTAATGTCCATGAGAGAGACCAGAATCTGTACTATGTCTGGAGTTTGCAGGTTCTCCCCCCGTGTCTACGTAGGTTATCTCCGGGTGCTACGGTTTTCCCGACCACTAAAGTCATGTACAATAGGTCTTGCATGTGCCTCCTGCGACATTTCCCCCATCTCTGTGAGGAGTGAGAGACAAAACAGAAGAGAAAGAAGAGTCCAGTTGCTACATGCATCAGTATCGTCCTGCTTTGGTCCACACAGCATCAGGGCTTCAATACGAGACTGTCCAGAGACTTCATCTTGTACTCGAGTAAACCACATGAGGCTCCATCTGTCTGAGTGAACGCTGGGGTCTTTGTGCAGCTCTAACTCAGCCTCATGTTCAGTCAAACAGAAGCAGTGTCATAAAAGCAGCCATCGTCTACTACGACCTCGAGCAGAACTGTGGACACAATCTATTCACATTTGTGGACTGTGTTTATCCTGCTCCCTCTGGACCAATGGCTCTTTGTGTTTGTTATTATTGCATATCCTGTTTTACTTTACCTCGGACCTCTCTGGTGTCTCCTTAGACCTCCTTCCTGACCTCTCTGGTGTCTCCTTGGACCTCCTTCCTGACCTCTCTGGTGTCTCCTTGGACCTCCTTCCTGACCTCTCTGGTGTCTCCTTGGACCTCCTTCCTGACCTCTCTGGTGTCTCCTTGGACTTCCTTCCTGACCTCTCTGGTGTCTCCTGGGACCTCCTTTCTGACCTCACTGGTGTCTCATACACAGAGTTATAATTAATGGTGAACCTTCAGCATCATTGGAAACTTCTCAAAGCAACAGTTGTTTATTACTTGTTTGTGAAACTTTAGTAAGACAATTCAAAATCAAATCTTTGTGTTTATGGTTGAAAACATGACACACACACACACACACACACACACACACACACACAACACACACACACAAACACGCACACACACACACACACACACACACATGGATACATACATACGCACGTAGATATCATTATTTGGACATATTTTATATATCCAGCAAAAAATATTCTTTCCCCATTTATTGTGTGTAGTTGTGTGAAGCCATATCTTTTCAAATAAACATGTTTTTAATCAATCACAATGTTTATTTCAGAAAATGTACAACACAAACATAATGACAGACCTTCGTACATGTTTTGAAAAGGGGTTGGATGAACCGGACCCTAATACACTTCCAACCCAACACCGATCAAAATGGTTCAAAAACTATTGAAAAACAAAAGTAGAAAAGTAACACAATTACATAAATGATACAAGGTGTACAGGTGTGTGTCGCCTATACACACAGGCCCAAATACTCTCTGACCCAACACCCCCTACCCCAATCACATCTACCTACAGGCCACCTACAGGCAGTTCAAGGTGTCATGTTTTTGGCTTCGTACTCTTCCCTGGATTTTCATCGCACAGACTTCTACCATGTCATTTCTCCATCTGGACCGATTGAAGTTATACAATCATCACAAAAAAGTTAGAATTTTTGTCATTGTTTTCATGCAAGGCGGTGGGGAATTTCTCCATGTTTGATGTTCTCCTGACCACAGGCTCAGACCTACAGAGCTAAAACTCACATCGCTAACAGTTGGTGATGGCCTGAGCGTAATGGTGTGAAAATACACACATTATATGACTCTACAGCGCCACCTATGGAAGGCTTCTGACCTAAACTTTTCCGATACTCACCAAAGTTGCACAATCAAATCTTTACACTAGTACCAGCAAAATACTACTCTACGTAGAGGGTGCATGTCCCGGACGTGACCACTAGGGGCGCACTTTATCCTATTAATGAGCTTTTATGTAAGTAATCCTGGTCCGATCTGGCTGCCAATTTTTCGGCGAGTACACCGCGTGACGCTTGTGGGACTGGCGCCCGGGAGGCGGTCGCGAGAGTGGCGAGGCCTTTCATCGCCGCTTGCGGCTTTAATTATTATTATTATTATTATTATTAATTATCATTAATATAATTATTCCTATGATCAGGCTTAAGCTGTATTCTATGTATATTTCATTAGTAATATAAATGATGAAATAGATGAAAAGTCTCAATTGGAACAAGAAAATAACATTTCTACCAAAAACAGGTACTTCCAAGTACAAATAAATATACAGACTTATTTCAATCTCTTCAATCATTTGGGATGCCTGATGGCAAGCGCAGATCTTGCACTGGTGAGACCAAGTGACTCTACTGAAGACTTTTGTAGCTGAGCACTCAGTTTCTGCAGTCCTAATATAGACATCTTTATGGCCTTGTCTTGTGAAATGAAAACATAATTTTAATTAAAGCAGATCACTCACGAACAGCAGCAATTCCCACAGTTATAGGAATCTGTTGTTTTCCACTGTGGAGGAAATGTTACAGACCTCCTTTGAGCCATCAACACAAGCCAAAGGCATTCCTTTAAAAGATACCGATATTAAATCCAACCCCAAAAAAACATTAAGAAAGTTCAGAATGCTTTTGTCATGATTTGTTCAGTTCACTGTACTGTAAGTGTTATTAAAAAATTATTTTGTAATAAGATGATATGACATTCATAGTTTTGTAATGGATGGAATTGTGTCAAAATATGGTCATGTATCACAGTTGCAGCCGGATTACTACTGATTATATCTATTGATTTACGGGATTTGAAATTATGTTAACAAAGTTTGCCAATAAATATCATTTAATATAATAATACCTGAGGGATATTACAATTTCATTTTCTGGTAATCATTTGTGTAATGTTGTAGAGGATCATAAATTCTTATTCTTCACTTGAAAGTCAAACACCTATATAGTTGCAAAAAACAATTGAGAAAGCATTCAATGATACTGTGAATTCAAAGATTATTAAAAGGATTAAAAGAAGTCTTGCCCCAAAATGATTCCATTTCTGCGGTCGAATGTCCCAACTAGTTCGGCAGCAATACTTCTCAGCCACCTGTGAGAAAATTAAAAACTTAAAGAATGTTTTTCCTCCTACAGAAACCACATTCAAACTAGAAATAAAATATAGCCCTCACACTCCATTTTCAGACATGTTTGAAAAGGCTCCAGGAGCCTCTCCAGGAGCACTCAAGAGCCGCATGCGGCTCCGGAGCCGCGGGTTGCCGACCCCTGAACTAAACTAATCCTTATTTCCAGGCCCCTTCAGTGAAGTATGTCCAATGGCCGTCACGTTTGGGCTTCTGAGTGGAATTCTTTCTGTCGTTGTTGCTGTTCTTGCCCTGAAGAACAGAAGACTTCAGAAAGGTACATTGGTGATTGCTGATTGTGCAAGTTTTCTCACTCAAAGAAAATGAGGAGAGTCATGAATTGTTATCAGAGAAAACTTCAACTGTGAGTGAAATGTGGAAAAAAGAAAGTAATGAAGTATACAGTTTATGCGTACAATTGTGCAGAAATGTATTATTTGGCAAATAACAAAAGTTAAACTGAATACTTGGTCAATGCCATCAAAGGTTACGTTACAGAGGTGAATCGCGGGACCCCTGTTATTTTGGCCCATTCTTCCACGCAGATCTTAGCTAGAGCTGTGATGTTTAAAGATTGTCACTGAGAAACAGAAACTTTCCACTGCGTTGCTTCACAGGTTAGTTAAGGTGTTATTGGGATGTAGCGCCCCCTGCTGAATCCAGATCATGTCCAGGCCGTCTGTAGTTTTCTTCTGACCATCTGGAAGATCCACAAGAGGCCTGGGAGAATATGACGTGGTCAGATGCGACAAGAATAAATGTCATTGGTAAAAACAGTAGCTCAGTTGGTAGAGCACTGGCCTTTGAACCTGAAGGTCGAGGGTTCAAGCCCACCACGGGACCTTCTCCACCGACTCCCACTGATGACTGCTGTCGTTGTGTCCTTGGGCAAGACACTTAACCCTGCATTGCCTGAAGCCCCCGCTGAAAAATCAAGGCCGTATTGTCACTGACAGAGCAGCCGTCCTCCTGTGGACTCACCACCTGCAGAGGATCAGTGAGGGGCTGGTGCTAAGTGAATTGGGTGCAGCTCTGACTGCCACCCCCCCGACCCAGAAATGGATTAAGGGGAAGAAGATGGATGGATGGATGGGTAAAAACTCTGGAAGGAATACCGAGTTGCATCCCATACACCTTACCCAAAGTGAAGCATGGAGGTGGAAACATGAAGATTTGGGACTGTTTTTTTCGCAAAGAAGACAGGAAAGACTGATCTGTATAAAAAGAAGGATGAATGGAGCCATGTCTCGTGAGATTCTGGACAAAAATCTTCTTCTAACAGGGACAACATTGAAGATGAAACGTGACTCAAACACATTGTCTGAACCAGTGGCTCCGTATAATGCATTTCGATTTTACATCTTTGACTTATTTGCTGCAGTGTAGTCAGTCAGTATTTAAAAAATGTTGCTTCATGACCCACTAAAAATAATCCCAGGACGTACTTTTGGGTCTCATTCTAAAACAAACGTGTCAATAAACTGGAGCCAGACTTGATGTAAACGGGCAATAGCTTTGTCCTCTCGTTTCTACAGTACATGCTTTCTCCCTCACTTTAGGCTTTTGTAGTTGTAAATGTGCAACATAAATAAATATACCATGATGACACTGCTAAGAGAACACTGTCCTCCTTGTTTCAGTCATTAAAGAGCTGCAGGAAAACTCCAACGAGGTGAGATTGTAAATATTTCGATTGATATCATTGTTTTAGCATATTTAATGTTTTCAAAACCGTTGGATTTCAGATTGAGTCCCAGGAGCTGAACTACGCAGAAGTCAATGTCAGAGCTGCACAAAGACCCCAGCGTTCACTCAGACAGATGGAGCCTCATGTGGTTTACTCGAGTACAAGATGAAGTCTCTGGACAGTCTCGTATTGAAGCCCTCTGATGCTGTGTGGACCAAAGCAGGACGATACTGATGCAGGAGACATTGGACTAATTCAATGTAGATATTTCTGTAAAGTATTTCTGTATAAAGTATAAAGTAAAGTATTTCTGTATAAGTTAAAGGCTTGACATGTGTATTATGTAAAGAAATATGAATTCGTTTGATCAATCCATTATTTGTATTTAAAGAACAAAATTAATATTGACGTCTTTGTGTTAAAATGCTTTTTTATTGCAAATATGCACCACTCTATAAAAAGTCATCATTCTATATTATATTTTTGTCAGCGAGACAGAGAGTGGGGCTTCCACCTGATCTAACCCATCTTTTGGCGGCTGTTCGCAGATGCACCAACGATAGTAGCAGCCAAACTCGGTCAACTTTTTTTCATAATTTGTGGTTTTAAATATTTAAACAGATCTTTCTTAAGCTCTATTCTCGACTGGAGTGGCAGTGGGGTTAGTTCAGTTTATTGTCTCTAACCTTAACCCTGATGGTCTCCTGCGCATTACATGAAAGACCAGAGACACACTGCTCTCGGGTGTCCCATGTGTGTATGAGTCAGTTGAGACCACATAGGACTTCCTGTTTAATTGAAACCAACAGAGATCTCACATTTGAGAGAATAGAAACTCAACAACACTTACAGTGGAAAAAAACAATAACACATCAATTTTATTCTTTCTGAAATCTCAAAGATGTCATATGTCATGTCATTTTCTTCCCCTTTATTATGACAGTCAGAGCTGCCACCCAAGTCTCAATGCACCAGTCCCTCGCTGATCCTCCTGCAGGTGGTGGGTCCACGGGAAGATGGCTTCTCCGACATCGACGAGATGGCCTTGGTCTTACAGCGAGGGTTTCGGGCAATGTGGGGTTAAGTGTTAAGTGTCAGGGAACAGGTGGCACAGTGGTGATACTATGGTTGCTACAGCTGCCCTGAGGCACACTGACAGAAGCGAGGAAACCAGTCTCCCACCAGCACCACCAACAATTCACACACAGATCAGACTCATTCTAATGTGGTGGAAGTGGCACTTTGCAGCCGCCCCACTGTGGCACCTGGTGTTCCCAGAGGACTCCCATCACAGTACTGACCAGGCCTTGTCTTGCTGAACTTCAGAGATGAAGCTAAGCAGGACAGGACCTCAGTGCCACAACACACATGAGAATATTCACATTGGCAAAGCTTCATTGACACGTTGTTGATCCATTGATAAACTTGCCGCTCCACATGGTTTGGTGGGAGCGGTGCTTAACAATATTTACTTTTTGTCCCATTTTTTTGTTCAATCTGAACATATCAGAATTATTTAAATCTAAAAAATCTGCAAAAACATAAAAAATCCAAACTTCTATTAAACAAAAGTGTCTCTGTGAAGATACTCCATAATTTAAAACATAGATAAACATATACATAAAGAAACATTGATACAAAATATGAGCATCCAAATAAAAACTTTCCACTAAACCTCTGAGTCACTACCAAACTTTAAATCAGTGTCAAAACCCATCTTTTCAAACAAGCTTTTCCGTAAACCCCTTCTTTATTATTGTATTTTTTCCCCCATGTGAAGTGTCTTTGAGTGTCCAAAAAAGCGCTATATAAGTTTGATTATTATTATTATTATTGAGACATCGATGGTTATAAAACTGGGACCTCCCTCACTCATAAACAGCTCTGGTATTAACTCACTTTTTAAACTAAACATAAAAAATTTGAGCCGCTTCTACATATTCCTTTTGGCCTTCAGTCTGAAATAGTTTGTTTTCTAAAGTATTTCAAAAGTACAGGTCATGTCCATGTGATACTCAGACGTTTCTCCATATGCTGAGGCTAGTGGCATTATTATAAGTGATTACATCCGTGAACAGTCAAAAAGACATGAAAGACAGACTGACGCTCCTCCCATTGTCTTAGATATAAAAAGCCAAAGCAGAGTATTAGAGGCTCAGACCAGAGTCATCACTATGAAGACCTTCAGGCTCCTTCTGCTCTCTGTTCTCTGTGAGTAACATACACTTTAGCTTTTATCTCCAACTCTTCACAGCTTTTAGTGACGTTTTTGTCATTTACAGATGTCAGTGTTCGATCAAAATTATTGAATGTTCATCAAGGAGAGAATGTCACTTTGTCGTGTTCACACTACTCTAAAGATGCATCTAAAGTGGATTGGATTCATCAGGGGACTGGATATAAACATTGCAGCATTGCATCAGTTTTTGGATCTGACGGTGAACCTTCAGTTTGTGATAGACTTAAAGACGGGAGATTTCACATGAGCTCCAATAAAACTGATGTGTTTCTGAGAATCCAAGAAGTAAAGCTCTCTGACTCCGGTCTGTACAGCTGTAGATTCTATAAGTCCAGGAGTCTAAGCATAACCCATGAAGAGATGATATGGCTAAATGTTATCAGTAAGTAACGCAATAATAAGAAACACATGGAGCCATTGGTCCTATGTGTTAAAAGTTGGATCACAAACTTTTTTAATTGAAATAAATCAAAATACTAAAGTGTACTTGA